GTAGGTGGATTTTTGATACGGATCTTGCCCGTGTTGAGATTGCGCTGGAACCCCCATTCCCTATACTACTCCTCCAAGGATAGTCATGCGTTGTTTGTATTGATTATCGCGCGCGTCGGTCAAATAAATTAGATGAAAATAGAATACTAATTTACAATACTAATTTACAATGAAAGAAAAGTAACATTCAAAGGATAAACGAAAGGAAATAGACACACGATCAACGAATGCTTTAAAATCACTTCCAATTCCATCGAAAGGAATTGATTTTCTACCTTCCAAGGGTCTCCCGAAGGAGCAGGATTCTGTAGAAGGTTGGTGGTCATACTATCAAATCAATACTGTCACTGAGTGCAACTATTCTTAACTGCGAAGCTTTATGCATCCAAATCGCTAAATTCAATTGGATKTCATATAATTATCGTTCACATACTTTCCGTCTTAAAATTTCTAAGACAAAAATTTCTCTTAAAATGCCAGTATTAAGTATAATACCGCTAATGAATTAAAACTGTGAACCGATTTATCTTCAAATGATAAAAGGAAAAAGGCTTGAATTCATGGTATTTTGGTTCGTTTGTGAAGCCAAGTTGTTGCAATTGGTTCAAGTGGAGTTTCTTTTTTATAAAATTTCCTGAGGAATAAAAGGCAGCCTATTAGTTTTGGAATATTATCGTCGTTCAAAATATAATCGGCAATTTTTAATTTCATTCAAGTCTCGCTTGTCAGCAGAAATAGCATCCCAACACTTTAAAATCCATGTCAACCGAAAACTGAGGTGGTCTACTTAGTCGGACTAGTATTGCTGAGTTCAAGGCATTTGTAATATAACTCGATATTACTTTTGATTATAATTTCAACTTATGATATTTGCTGGGGAAAACACAGACATCGTGTTAGCAAAAAGCGTTTTCATTAGCTGCAGCTTATTCAAATATCAAAACTGTCATTATGAGTACTACGCTATTGGAATAGCAATGTCTTATTTTCTCATTTTACAAACGGGATAAAATTTTTCTTCTTTGTTTCTGAATCGATTCAGTTTGCTTAGTTTCAGAAAAAGGATCTATTTAGAATCAAATTACAGACGGCCATAATCGATTGTCAGTAAAAAGAATGAAAAATCAGAGTATTTTTACTAAACTTGCTTTAATTGGAATGGTGAAATTGATGCATTTCGTAAGAAAAGGCTTGATTACAATTCATTTACTTCTTCTTTTTTCAAATTCTATTAACTCAGTTAATTTCTTCCTTCCTCCCTTCCCAATAATTTGTAGTCCTTGTCGGTGGCGGCAGACGCAATAACTCTGGCTGGGCTCGCTCGTTGCAGTATACTAATCAGGTGTAGTATTATTCATCTGTCTTCGCGAATGGTGTCGTCTACTATTTGCGCGGATTGATCATCATGCACGATCAGTTGTTGATATCCCCGGTACGTGGCCTTCATTTCTCAGCGGCAAATGTTTACGTCTTCAAACGAATCTGTGGTTTTCGGAACACTGTACCGGACATAGAAGAGCAGTTAATAAATTCCTTATTGCTACAATTAATACTAATTAAAGTCATTCTTACTCACAAAGCAAAATAAGCTTGAATAATTATTGCAAATACTCGGCTCTGGTACCAAAATGTCTGCTGCTACACCAATTGAATAAGTAATTTTGATTGGATGGTGTGTATTTTCGTGCTTTTAAATGGTTGCGAACGGAAGCCATTAGAGATCAATATAGTGTCACGGCTCAATAGACCTTTTTGGGTTTCCCGAATTGCCTTTCACGCAGATTTTCATAAAGTTCTTTTAGTTTTTTTTTTGTTTTTKTTTTGCATTGATGCATAAATTTGTCATCAGCAAGACAATTGGAAGTAGTATGGCTGAACTTTAAAAGCCTTCTCAGGATCTGATTTCAGTTTTTCTGTTCCGGTTTTGTTTCTTCCACTCTATAGGAATCGTCCATGCAGAAGATTGTCATGTTTTTCTTAACGTAGTATAGGAAGTTATACATATATATATATAGTACTTACAGAATCTTTTAAGTAAGTAAGGCCGTAAACATTATTAATATAAAATAGATCACCATCTCAATTGGCCTTTAAGTAATCTTGGTCGTTTCTTTTGAAAGCCATTCAAGAGATTTTCTCGGGCCCTGTGTGTGACGGTCAACAACTATTGAGGTTCAGGTGGGTGTTTTGAGTACTACTTTTTTTTAATGGCCGGAAAAATTATTAAGTGCCTTTAAATCCGGATCTCATCATTAGTCTGAAGACTGTATTGCTTTCCTGGCGTAATAACCCACCTTCTACAAAATTGATCAAAGGATTACTTTTTATTTTCACCGAACTTACATGATTTAATTAATGGAAAGTGCTAATCGTCATTCATTGTAATCGTCTTTTTTCTGATAACATCTCTAAGTGTCTAAGACGTCGATTGAATGTTTCGAGATGTGAGAAGAAGTACAGTATCTATTCTGATTTGTTCTGCACTAAATTTGTTTCAATATTTTATCTGTGGTTTAGTGTAACGTAAATTTAAGTTCTGGGCTCATGCAACTTCTTCCCAAGTTGATGGGCTTATAATCAATCGGTCGGTGGGGCTCATAAACCAGGGGCTTATTAAGGGAGGGGAAATTGTTTGAAATTCATTTTATGAACTGGAAACAACTGGAAACAACTGTTTTTTATGCAACGATAACTGTGAAAGCTTTAATTGCCAAAACGTGGATGTGACTTAAAAAAACTATCTGAGTCGGGATTGTCAATTTACCACGGGACAACGGGGCTGGGCAAGGCAGTTAGTAGCCAAATGGAGGGGGATTTAACTTTTATTCTTATAAAACGACACGCGACTGAATCAAGAACCATAGCGGAGTGACCAGACACTTGGCCATAAATGTRTATAGATATAGTATATATTTGTTTGCAACAACTTGACAAGGTTGCATGATTTTGCAAGGCATTTGTATATCATGGCGGCGAGAGGCTCTCTCGCTCCATTACAACCGAGAAGCACTGGAGCGAGAGAGTCTCTGGAGCCCCATTGCATCATTGCATCACCGTACCTGATGTTTATTACTCGGTATACCTCAAGCGCAAAGCAGTACTATCGGTTTGATTACGCGAACCATCTCATGCTTACAAACAATGCGGTAAAAACCGGCTGTCTGATAATGAAATCCTTTTTCAAGCATTCATCATGAAACTGTCAGATGAAGGAAACACACGGTTCCATAACTAGCATATAACTAGCTATCAAAAGATATGCTAGATGTGTGTTACTGCTGCATTCCCTGGTATGAAAACCGGGTTGAACCTAAATGGTATTAAGTAAGTCAACATGAAGAAGTGCCAAGTTCAACCGAAGAATCACTTACATTTACATGGAAATTGCCTGACATTTATGTATTCGGCTTCTTTATTTTATTCATAAATATAAATTATGATAATTACTGATAAATCCGATCCGTATTCTTATTTAGATGCTACCATAATCTAGTCATCCACCGCCATAATCTAGTGAAAAGACTTCAGTCAAGACCGATTGGTACTTCCTTTTGAAGAATGTAGGTGTTCAAAAAAGACTGAAAAGACTAAAACTGAATACGAATTACAAATCTGGGTAGGTTTTACCACAGAGTTGAACTCTTACCGATCATTGGTTTGCATCAGAACATAGTTAATAGAGGCAGTCTTTCTTTCTCTTGGAACAGTCCTTTTGACACTTAACAACGCCGATTTTTGAAAACAAAAAGAAAACTTAATCTGATAATCAGCGGTCCATTTGCTCTGCAGAGAAATAATAGCTTCGTGAAATTAAAAGTAAAAATCATATTTTATTATTCATAAGCATTTTAAAAAACGAAGCTCTACATTTTGAATCCTTCTGTAAACAAAAATAACAATTAATGTATATCAAAGATACTAGGAAATGTTCAAAGAAAAGTGAAAGATTGACAAGAAGAGAAAAATAACATGAACTAGATCCTGAAAACTAAAAAATACTGAGTAAATTAATTGTTGTTTGGTGATATGGTAAATAACTTCAGCACACAGCTGCGTTCTTAGTGTCTTTTCCAATAAGTACACTTTAATTTCTTTTTCCACCTGCTTGGAAGAGCTTTGAAGCAATGTATTTTTAATGAGATCTAGTTAAGAAGCTCATTCAGGAATGGAATTTAAAAAAATAGAATAAAATAAGTCTATGTTTGCAAAAAAAAAAAAAAAAAACAAAAAAAAAAAAAAAAAAAAAAAAAAGATGTAACTACAATATATTACACGGCTACAGTTCTAGCCTAATATTCAAGGTTAGGCTCAAAAGCCATAAGAGTACGAGGCTTTATTAGGTTTTACCCGCTATAAAGATAGCCACTGAAAATTCAACAAAGAACTAACTTAACGTCTGCAAAAGCAAGAACGAGAACATGAGCAAAAAAAATCTACATGCAATTTCGTTAACCTATGTTTAAAAGTTTGTGATTTTTGTGTTTATGAGAAACTAGGATATTTATTGATTGTGTTTATAAACATGTCTGAACCTGGCAGCCTTCAACAAGTGTTCACAATTATATTAGGTGGCAGGATGGTTAAGTTGTGGTTGAATGGGATTGTTTTTGCATGTATATCAATGTCCAAACTGACCAGTTGACATGGTGTTGCTTTTTTTTATGCAGATACCTGACATACATTAAATGCAGTTGCTCTCGGCTCTTGGCGACGATTCTTGATATGTAAGAAGCTGACTTTACTGTCATAAAAAAAACCGGCAATTGAATGCCACAAAAAAGTACACTGAGTGCTACAAAGTGATGGACAGACACTTTTTCAAAGCTTGTGTTTCTCTRCCGATAAATGTATAACTCATGAAACTCTACAAGTTTTGGATTATTGCTCTTCTTGGCTGGATATATCTACAAAACTTCACAACAGTTCAGCTTAAAGCCGTTTTTAGAGTTGGGGTTTTTTATGACTGGGATTTTCCAAATGGAAAAGAATACATTTCCAAGCTGACAGCTAATACCCCACATGGCAGCCTTAGCTTCATACGCTCAACACCCGCTATCGACGACATCTCTAATTTAACTATAGACTTCGTTCCATATTCTGTACAGGATTTGTCTTTATCACAAATTACATATTTGTTCTGCGAGAAAATTATCAACGAAGATGTTTCTGCCATTGTTCTTCATACCAAGGATACAAGACTGACAAGATATCTGGCATATTTAGCCTCTCATCTTTGGATTCCTGCAATAGGAACAGCAACTAACGACCCATCTTTATCTGACAAGGTACACTGTGCACATTTATGATTCGTATTTTCCCGTTTTCACTTAAATGCATGGTTGTTAACTTAATTTAGAATCTAGCTTTATATATTCTATATATTCCGTGACTTAATATATATGTTCCGTCGTTCAATTGGTAAAATCACTATTCTTTATACAGTCAATGTCATTAACGTTGTCCACCAAGAAAAGACATTTACACATTTACACATAAAGTGAGCCTGAACTATAAATGTAAAATTCAACTCGTGAATCGAAAATCCAGAATGCCCCGACCATTTAGTGAGGATTTAAGATGGAGAATTGTACTTCATCGTTTGTTTTATGTCAGAATGTTCGAGAGAACACGTGGTATTTCTTTTAGTTTAAATGTGTAAATGTGTAAATGTGTTAATGTCTTTTTTCGGTGGACAAGGTTAATGACATTGACTTTATATAACTTCTCCTTTCATTTAAGGACTTATGTGGTTTGATATATCGAAGTAATTCTGATTGAGATAACTGTAGTAATACCACAAACACAATACAAAGCTATAAAAATTCAGTTCACATGAATTCTTAATATGACGAAGCAGCTAGTTAGCAGGCAATTAGTCTACCTGCTCAAACGTGAATAGAAAATCAGTTTTCATTTTCAAGATGAATTTATTTCAAATTCTTAGTTGAAACGCAGACCGTTGCGCAGTCCTATGATATTTGCTGTTTAAAAAGTACAATCTAATGCTACTGTATTTTACAATTATCTGAAAGAATATTAGTAGTATTCCACATTATCTAAAAGAATATTAGTAGTATTCCACAACGGAAATCTCCGCCGGGTTGTCTCATAAAGTACTGTGTGAAACTTCAAGGCCGATCGATGTTCGGTTACCGCCGAATACAGTTGTAGCATGTTGAAGGTGATATAGTAACTGTTGGAGCCTTATTAAAAGACCGATCTGGACAGTACCTAAACTGAAAAATGATGCTGTAGTATTTATGATGATTTTTCATCTTTTTTTGTGTCAATTTTGGTCATTTTGGAGAGCAATTGTCAATTTTCTTCGTTGATTGTTAGTTCCAAATTACGGCACCCAAAACAATTCTAGCATTTAGGTTGTTAATGTAAAAATTAACACAAGGTATTAAACTTTGTGCGTCGATAAATCACTCGTTAGCAGTAACAAGCACACCTGCGAAGAACAGTGTAGAGTTGTGTCAACACAGGAAAATCATACAGACTGTCAAGCGATGATCATGAATCCTTCAATAAGACAACAACCAGAACATGTAAAGTGGTAGTGAATTTCTTTCTTCTGAATCTCAAACGATTCAGTCGAAACACTTTTTTGAAAAATTTGAAATTTTCTTTTTAGTCCTTGTAAACACATTTTACTATGGCGATGTGCAATGGGGAAAATTTGATTCTCGATTCTTCGAGATGGAATCGTTTCAATTAATATAATTTGTGAGCAAAATAATGAGGTTTGCATCGAGAAATATAGAAAATGAAATCTCTGGATACTGATAAACAAGTGCTGATCCAGTAAATCCATGCAAATTGGCCGGTAGTTCCGCTATGTTGCGAAGGGCAATTCTATTTTATTCAATTTCTTTTCTTTCGTCGTAAACTTACTTATTATAAGTATACAACTACGGAAAACTTGAAGTAGTCTAAGGAAAAGAAAACAAAAGTTATCATCTAGAAAAAGTTGGTTAGTTTTATTCTTATTATTTGATCCCTACTGTGGCAGATTTAAGGGGGGTTCATTGGGTGCAAATGAACCCCCAATCGGCTGGTACCTTGGATTTTTTATATTTTTTAAAATAAATAAAGAAAAGTATGGTACTAACTCATGAGATTTAATATGAAATGGGACTGGTGGATAGGTTATCCTTATCAGGAGCGCCCCTAGGCCAGTGATGTGCCTCATGGGAAAAATGATGATGCAAGAGAACGTTATTGTTGTGCCGAGGTTTGCAAAAATGAACGCCCCCCCCCTGGATCCGCCACTGCTCTAGACCAAGTGATATCAAGGTTATTAATCTTAGCATTATAAAGATTAGGCCGCAAAAATCATTTACTGTTTTGAAGCCATGGCCAAGGGTATAGATAAGAGAAATTAATGTTTGTCTACCGGCGTGTCGATCAAATCAGTGCAGCGCTAAATTACTGATGATTTAAATTCAGTACAAGTAAATGCAACTCTAATACATATGTCTATATCAACTTCAATTTGTTACGCTGTTAGTGATATTTTAAATATGTTTGAGGCTACATGCATGTTGCAAGGATGTTTGTACAGATTGCAAGAAACAGCAGTTAGTGCAAGGAGAATGAGAAAAGAGCATGAAAGATCAGTCTGTCCAAATCACTAATCAAACAGAATCAAACAGAACAAAAACAAATGCTAAGACTAAATTAAGCCGGAACCGGCAACTCTTCTTCATTGATCAGTTCTYGTTTTTTTTTTTCTCGAAAGATCGGAGTTCTTCAAAGACAATCCAGAATTAAATATGACTATCAATCTTTTCAATGCAATATTTGATTTAGCGGCACTTTATATTTGGTTCCTAGAGAATCATGAACAAGTATGAATTATTCGGTACTGGGTGATTTCTCGGTCGTTACGAAGAGCTAGTGCTGTTCGAAGTCTTATATTATCTATGATAAACTGCCGTTTCCAGCTCCTATATTAGTAATAACAAACGGCAGTGCATCAGGTAGACTCAACACGCAAAGTCCTTATCTTGGAGAAGCCTATGAGGTGACCGCCAGACAAGGTCGCAGTCTCTATGGTACTGCTTCGCTTGGCAAAGAATGTTTGTTCTATAGAGAGAAGAAAAGGAAATAAGAATAACAAAATATAGACTGAAAGGAAATTTCAGAATCAATATTATCTTAACAATAACGAGATATCCGAGTAATTGAAGAAAAATAGATCAGTCGTTTATTGAAAAAACTTGCAACTGAGTGACAATGAGAATCTTTCTTATTATGAAAGATTCAACAGTAAAGAGTATTTTCAGTTATCTATGCTAGTATCTCTTCAGTGACATCGGATTTGAATAGATTTATTTCATTTTAGTTTTTTACTACTATGATTGACACTGGACCATAGATACGGAAGTATTGGAACCATTAAAAAGGAAGCCGTGAATGTTCGACATCTGCTAGGCATCGTGTCACGATAAATTGTGATTCACGTGATTATCGGCTCTTCTTGAATCTTATCCGCTGAACTAACGTTGAAACAAATTTAAAGTTAAAATCCTTAAGCATACTTCACTGTGAAAAGTGAAGAAGAGAGAAAAGCTTTAGTCTCGGTTGTATTGGTTGTGTTTCACATATGATCTACGACAACAACCAGCATGGCCGCCATGTTGTTTTAATTTATCTTCTTTAAAATAATCATGTGCAATAATCCGCAGAAGCAATCGATTTTTTCCCTTATGATTTGAACAGTCGTAAGAATTAAATAGCGTGCCAGAATCTTATAAAGGGGTTACGTCTAACACTACTATGATAACTATGTTCAGGAATATTCAGATATGCAAATTAGGAGTTGTGATACCGTATTTGAAACTTGGTTTGGTTTCAAGGAGGCCGCTCTCTCACATATCAAACTTTTTCGCTGAATTCATGGGCGTTGCCAAGATTTTCCTATTAAATGAAAGGCCCAAATTCAAAGATCCACCACTTTGTTTGAGCTAGCTCCCGAAACGTCAAACAAACAAAAAGAAACAGCTAGGAAAAAGAAACAAAAAGGAAAATGCCAGGGGAAAAAACGGCCTTACGCTTCGTTTTACCTCTAAATAAAAATATTAAAAATTGCAATAAAAACCCGCTTATGAAAACCTAGGTTTTTCCAAGTTTTTAAGCCTATAACGACGGTTCTTATAAAAAAGGTGTTAACTAGGTTCGTTTTTGGTAGGTGTGCTCTATCATTTATATACATTATGCAGAAATTTTATTCTCCAAATGACTGCAATCTTGGAAATTAAATACAATCCATATATATGGACTTTAAAGCTACACTGTATTTAATTTACAGCAGAAAACAAAAAACAGAAAATAAACAGAAATTTTAGCCTAAAACTGGTTCTTATGTAAGTGTTATGGGACGACCGCTTTCGGATGAGCTCCGGGATCTTTATTCTACTCTCTATGTCCTCTGTGTGTTGAACTAATTACATGAGCTCTATTTCACTTAATAATTCTATGACAGGTGTCATTCCGTATAATCAATATCGTTGAATCATGATTGGCTAAAAGAAATAGTAAATTCCTAAGTGCRATATCTTAATAACGAGTAATCACGAGTGAAAATCTTGAAACTAAACATAGCTTAAACTAAAGTTAATATATGAATATATGGTAAATGTATAGAAAAGCCTGCAAGGAATATTTCTATCATAAGATTCCAAAAGAATAATGCTAAAATAACTAAGCAAAGGGGTAAAAAGTGTGTAGAGCGTAACCAGAAGTACAAATGCTAATGAGAGGAGCTAACTCGTTTACTTGCGAACTCAAAGCATACCATTATCTAAACTTGTGCGTGATGGTAGCCTTACTGAAATCTTAATCGATATTTTTAATAGCTAATTGATCATTCTTTATCTTGTTTTCATACGATAAGAAATAGTAATTAGAAAACTGATGGCTAGCTTAGTCTGTAAAGACATTAATTTTCTCTCTCATAACACTAGCAGGGAAGGAACATCTTAGCCTAGCAGGAAATCTTTCAAACAAACATTTGAGATATCTGTCTTTAATTTAGTCTTGGGAATTTTTGAAGCACGATGACGTTATTTACTTGAAAACAAATTGTCATGAATATAAAGTTGAATATCTCATTTTGTTCTTGCATTTTCTTTGATTCTAGACCCTGCGACTGCTTTTTATATTCACTTTCTTGGTCAGGAGAGATAAATATATGTTTATGGTCAGGTCATACGTTTTGCTTACAATCATGACTTGTCTTCAACGCCCTCTACACAGGAGAGGAGAGGGGGGATAACGAGGATTATCAATCGAACAACCAAGCTAATAAAAGCCAATTCTAGTGATAAAATATTATTTCTTCTGTCAGTAAAGCTTTTTGTTTTTTGTTTTTTGTTTGTTTTGTTTTTATTTTTATTATCTTTTTTTTTGGTTGTTGTTTTTGTTTTTGTTTTTTTGTCAATTAGTTTGTTTCGTTTTTTGTTGTTGTTGTTGTTTTTCGTTTTTATTTGCTTTGAGTAAGCAAACCTATTTGCATCTTAATTGTACCACCACTTTCCCTAGATCCTCCCCTGAAATAACGACTCATCCATATTAATCTTCTTCAGTTTGTGAGGTAGAGAAAAATAACACTCAAGGGAATGACAATTTCACTGTCAACGGGAGGGGAATTGAAGTTATATATTTGAAGTTATGACAGTTTTCCTTTTTACCATTTTCAGGCTGACTACAAGTCTTTCATGCGGACTCTGCCATCTCAAACACTACAATTTAACGTAGTTTTAGAATTCTTTCGATACATAGGAAATGCAGAAGCCTTCGTTATCGTAAGTGACGACACTACACATGGGCTTGCGCTRCAGTTCTTCTCTGATATAAACTTCGTCACTGTTAGTATTTTCAAGATCGACAAAATGAACCCACAGCCGTCTGTCTCTGAATATCTAATGCGAATCAAGGCTAGCCTGGCGAGTGCTGTATTCCTCCATTGCGATGTAGACCTTGCTAAACACATTCTTTGGTCCGCGAAGGATTTTGGGGTATTTGGTGAAGGTTTGTTCTGGATCGTGTCTGAAAATATCGTAGAGAACACTGAACATTCGTACATGTTGCCAAGCGGTATCCATGCAATCAGGGTTGAGGGTTTACAGTATACTGACCGTTTCTTCGCGGATAGGCTTTATAACACCTATGAGGTTCTGCACAAGGCATTAAACTCTTCTACTGATGCAGAGCTTAGGAGATTTTTGCGGAAGCCTCCAACTACAAAGTGCTCAGATATGGAAGAATGGAAACACGGTAAAGAGCTGTACAGGTCAGTAAGCCTTTGCGTGCAATTATTAAACATATTAATATCCGTTCATGAATAACTAAACAAGTAGATCGTCTGTTTTATAAGAGAGCAAATGTGGCCACGGTTAACGAACTAACTTTAATTTGATTTTTGCGGAGGGARGAAAACCAGAGAAACCGGTAAAAAGCCCTTTAAGTAATAACATAGGATAGAACCAACACTGAAGCAACTCTTCTCACATATGAAAGCGAATCTAGCGATCGAACTTTTAGACCACAACCGTGAGGTCGAGAGGCAGTGCATTGCAGCACGATTCTATTCGCTATGAGCACCCCTTGTGATGACTTGCGTCCTTGTTTGAGTGCTGACAATTTTCGATTGCGCTTTTCAGATTCCTGCCCCTATTATTCTTAATTTTGCGAGTGCTGATAAAACTGCCTTTCCATTTAGTTGCCTAGGAAAATCAAATTACACACTAATGTACCATGTATGTTTTTTTTTAATCTGTTATTTTTTACTTTTAGGAAACTCCTTTCAGCATCCGTACAGAGTGCAAACTCAGTTCCAATGCGTTTTGACGCTCAAGGAGATCGAGTTAGCTTGGCCTATGATACGTTATACCTTCAAGATTTAGATAACCTGGAGAAAAGATGGATCCCGACAGGCAAGTGGATCAATGGAAAGTTATCATTACGAACAAGCAGTTTGAAGGATCACGGTTCTGGGGAGGCAGGATTAATGAAGCTGCGTGCAGCTGTGGTAGAGTATCCTCCCCTTACAATGAAAAGTACCTATGATCCAAGTATWGGATGCACGCAGGGGATCATTTGCATCAAATACTCGGATGACGCAGAGAACTATACTAAACATTGTTGTTATGGCTTAGCTATTGATGTTCTCAATTACGTCAAAGTTGAGCTCGAGTTCGAGCCTTTCGTCTACTTTGTGCGGGATGGAAATTACGGCGCCAAAAATACCACCTTGAACAAATGGAATGGGATCGTGCACGATCTCATCATTGGAGAAGCGGACATATCTATAGATCTGATGACAAATGAAGCGCGCTCTGAGTTTCTTGACTTCTCCCAGAGATGGACAGAGGCTGGGTTGGCATTGTTGGTTCTTGTGGGCGAGAAAAAGGTCGATCTTATTGATTTCTCATTTCTTGACCCATTTACAATGCAACTGTGGCTTGGTATAGTAGGCACTGTGAACATGTACCTGGTTTTGCTGTGGATTACTGATCGCCTCAGTCCTTATGGTTACTATAAAAACAATCTTAGAAATAAACCAGAAGAAGGCCAATTTAATTTGGATGGAAGTATGTGGTTCAGTTGGGGCATTTGCTTTGACAATCAGTTTGTGAACGAGAAACCTAGAAGTTACAGTTCACGCGCCATGGCGGTTTCTTTAGCCATGTTCGCTTTGCTTTGTTTGACTTCATACACGGCAAATCTTACAGCTCACTTGCTGTCAGACGACACTAAACCAGATATTACAGGAATCAGAGACCCAAAGGTGGGTAACTAAACAGCGGTCAATGCAAGCGGTACACTAATCATGAGTGAAAATCATATTGATATATCTTTAAAATAGTACTAAGTAATTAGTACGAAATAGCACCGATGAAACAGTTGAAAGCAAGAGAAATAGGTGTGTTTAGTGCTATTTAATTTTTGAGCTTATATATAGTTTTCTCTCTACCAATGTGACGGAACTTACATCAACTCACATGTTCAATCAATCACAACGCCCTGTTAGTGTTTATCCAATCACAACGCAATGTTAGTGTTTATCCAATCACAACGCCCTGTTAGTGTTTATCCAATCACAACG